GTCTTTCACTGTTAGAATGTACATATGATTAAAGTTATAGATGGTTGTATTCTTTGTAAGTGGGCAAACCTGCAAAATCAGCAAGGGGTCAAATACTTATTTCCCCCACTGTAGTTGAGGTTTGACTTGATCAAATATAATTTATCACCCTGATATTAAAGCCGTGTTCTCCTGTGATTGGAGGTTTGACAGTGACCTGAAGCCCAACGGCTTCCCCTCCCTGGATGAGGACGAGGGGTTCAGCGACTGGACTCAGCTCAGAGAGAGACGAAGGCAGCAGCGCCTGCAGGAGCTGAACCAGGGCGCTGAGGAAGAGGAGGAGGAGGAAGAGGAGGAGGACACGAGGAAGAAATCTGCCCCTACAAAGGCCAAACAGCTCTCCAACACGGCCTTCGGTCAAACCCAGAGAGAAGATCGGGATGAGACAGACACGCCCAGAAAGGAAACGGAAAAAAAGAAGGAGTTTGAAAAGACAGAAACGGAGAAAAGTGGGGAAGAAAAGGAAGAGGAACAAAGGAGGATGACTATGAATGCATCGATACCAAAAAGGAGCAATGAGATCCAAAGAGCACACACTGAGGTAAAGCTTCTAAAAATTCCATAGAAGTCTCAAAAAATTCGAAATTATTTCTCAGGACCAGGTCAAAACTCTAAATAATTTAAATAATTCTTTGTTTCACCATGCAATAAACCAGTTTTTAGCTACGTGAAAACAAGCCTAAAATAGATATAAAACAAGAAAAAGTTAAGTTCAGATCTATATCAAGTTCAATATCTTTCAAGAATATCGACTCAAAAAATGTTCCGCTCAATCAGACGTTAAAAGTTCTGGTTGGAAACCAGGATGGAAATTAGTTCGCGCTCATGATATTATTTTGCAAGGTCCCTGACAAATACTGTAAATCTACAATTAAAAAACAACATAAATACTGGTCCAAGCTAAGCCTTAAATGATTCAGGACTTTGGGTTAGGGTTTGAGCTTTGAGCTTTATGAATTCCAGAAAGGTTCTCACTAAATCCATCTTAAACCAAGTCAGAAGACTTATTTGTCTCAACTGTTTGAAATGTGTTTTAGTTTCAAAGTTAAAAAGTGTCAAATTCCAAAAGTATCAAGTCAGCCAAACTTCAATAAACCAAAACAATATCAAGTCCAATCTTGAAACATTAAAGACAAAAATAAGTTATGTAAAGAAACCCTTTCAAACCACCACTCAACACTCTAAAATCTGTCAACTTTCACACACAGGTGGCAAAAAGGAAAGAAGTCAAAGTTTCCTATACATCAAAAGTTTTGCTTCGCCAAGAGGTCAAACACGGCGTCGTCAACGGCGACGGGACCACCGCGGAAGTGACATCACACACCAGGAAGTCAAACAGATCCAACAGGTTCGTCCACAGCCATGTTACAATGATTAGTTCCCACTTTTTTTTTTTCTCTTTTTTTTCTCTTTTTTTTCTCTTTTTTTTCTCTTT